ACCTATTCTCCTTTGCTGGGAACTCTCCTACTTAGTGAGAAGAAGGAGAGGCCCCTAGATGGCACCTTTGTGTCCTATTCTAGAAAATTGACCCAGTAGGGTGATGTGGTTGCACTGAGAGCCTGTAATACAGCTGTTCTGTTTTGTCCAATTCTCCTGTGACTGTCACAGTTCAAGGTGGTGCTGGACGATCTTCATGCAGAGTGGTGGGTTGTTCCCCAGACCACTGTTGGAGGCTTGAGTTGAGGGCTGGGTGAGACCCTCTCCATGGAGGGTGGCATTGCAGGGGATTGCTCTTCCCAGATCTTCCCAGGAAGGTGACAGCGGCATCTGGGTTAGGTTATCTAGGCAGTGGTTTGGGGTGTCTGGTCTGTGAGCATTTGATTGAACTGGGTCCACGGGTGATGATGTATCAAGGCTGGCAGGTCCCTGGAGGAATGCTGGACTGTGGGAGTGGTACCTATCAGGTAGCCAGTGCACACGTTGGGAGTGGGCTGCAGGGCTTGATGGCAGCAGGAAGCCTCATGGGGTGGAGCTGTGGGCAGCAGTTGAGTGTCAAGGGCAGAGCCTTGGGGCCCAGGCTTAGTGCTGGAGACTTGGAGGAGAATCTATTGGCCCAGCAGCAGTGGTGGAGCCTTGAGGACAGAGCTTTGGGCCTGATAACTATGCTGAAACCTTGAGAACAGAGACACAGGGCTTGATGGTAGTGCTAGAGCCTCAGGGTCAGAGCTGTTGGCCCAGGGCCAGCAGGAGCATTGTAGTAACTACAGCCTAGAGGCAGGACAGTTGCTATGTGGGCGGGGCTGCTGGGTCAAACAGCAGCATGGAAACCATGGATGTGGAGGCCTAGCAGCACCATGGTGATCATGGTTGTCGGGCTGTGGGGCCAGGGCCGCTAGGTGGCAGGAGCTCTCCATCTGCCCAGATCCCATGAGGCAGTCACTGCATGGCTTCTCAGGTGGTGACTGAGGTACCTGTTCTACTCAAGTCCCCTATTGGTGTATACAGGTGCTTGACTCCTAGTCTCAGGGCATGGCGTGAGAGAGCGTCACTCTGCCCACTCCTTCCCCAGCCTACCTGGGGTGATACAGAGGTGTTTACAGCAATGCTGAGCCCTGTGTACACCTGGCAACCTGGATCAGACAACTGAGAATGGCATCAGTTGTAGTAACACAGGAATGGAAGCCACCAGGTACCTGCTGCGCACACTCTCTGTTGCAGTGTCGCTGCACAGACTCCGAACAGCTCCTTAATCATACCAGAGGTCTGTGGTGGAATTAGGGGTACCCTCATAGCTCAGACCATAATGCCTGCAAGGAGAGCTTGGAGCTCCAGTGCTCTCTCTTCCTGTCCTTTCCCACATGTAGATGCTGCCCTCAGGTACCTTTCAATCTTGCAGAATGGATTGCCCCATCATGCCCTCCTTCACTCTGAATATACCTCATTGCTTCTCCAGTGATTTACAGTGCTCTTTCCAAGAAGGCCCATCTATAGGTGGGCATCCACCTGCTACTTTCGATCATCTCCTTGAGAGCAGCATGTGTGGGTTGCTTCTAGTCTGCCATTGTGCCCTTCCCCCTTATATTATTTTCAAATTATTAAATTATATTAGCTATTCATATATGCTGAATTAAATTTGTTTGTAAGATACATGTGTTGTGAATATTCTGTGTGGCTTGCATTTTTACTATCTCAATAGTGTCTTTTAATGAGGACTAATTTTAATTTATAAACTTTTCTTTAATATTTAATGCTTCTTGTGTCTTGTCTAAGAAATAGTCTCCTAAACCAAGATTAAGGAAATATTTCCTTGTATTTGCATCTAGAAGCCTTATGTATGGTGTGAGGTTCATTTGTTTATGTTTCCTCTCTTAACCAAATATATTGAGACTTAATGTATATACAATAAAAGGCACCCCTTTTAAGTGTATAGTTTGATGTTTCGACATATATATACACACACACATGTAACCATCACCATGATCAAGATGTGGAACATTTCCTTGACTATAAGAGAGAAACAAGGGATTATAGGCAATAATTTCTGCCCTACGTCATGCTCAGCCTCCAACTTGTTTCTCTATTATGTTGATGTTATATACTATTGCTTATTCATACAGATGAATAATTGTAAGTGAAAAGAGGTTTTTAGGTTTCTTTCATTATTCCTCATTGCAATACTTTTCAATTAAATACAGACGTAGGAGAAGAAGCCACCCTCTGCTGTACTGGTGGAAACCATCCATGGGAAGACTATTTCAGCTTAGAACCTTCTGGGAAAATGACTTTGAGGATGGTACTGCTGAAACCACTCAGGAGTAAGTGCCACTGGGTGTCCCATTTGTTAGTAGACTCCACACATTGCAGCTCCAGACAGAAGAAAGCATGCCAGAAATGGGAAAAGAACCCATTTCAACTTGAATGTTCCTTTGTCACACTCTACTGGCAAAGCTTAATGTGTCGGCTGGCAAGGGGAAACATTCTAATAACACAATCTGGATAAATAAAGAATTTGGAGCTGAAAGGCAATCACGTCTTTAATTTTATTTCTTTTTTTATTTTGACAGAATTCAGTTTTTATTAGTCTCTATGAGCCCTGGAATCACGTTTATGTCAATAGACGTTTGTAAAA